AGTGAAGCAGGAACAGAAAGTGTGAGCTTCATTTCACACACATGACAGAACATCAGCGTTATTTTAAAGATTTCACTCTCTCAAAAGGACTGAGCATTATAGCTGCAAAAAAGCCTTTTGCTCAAAGGATTCTTTCACTGGCAAAATCTATAGGCTACAGTAGATTCCCATGAGGATGGTCTTTGTAAAACCCAGGAAATCTAAGCTTTATGGAGCATTTCAAGATGTTCAAGTCTACTAATCGATCCAGTACTCATTACACTTCCTCTTTCACCAAGGTGCATGAACAAACAGATCCACATGATCCCCTATCGTTCAAATGAAGCATCTCTGTCTCTTTAAAACACATGCAGCCTACGCCTCGAAAAGCGGCTTGTTCCGGCTTTGCCCCTTTACATCTTTATCCTTGCCCCCTACATGAAAATAGTACCCCGCATAATAATCAACAACAACATCCTCCGCGATATTCTGTTGAAAAAAGCACAGTTTCCGGATCCAACCGAGTCATCTGAAGTTTAAACAAGCGCATCCACAGCTCAACTCGGGATGCGAGCATCCACGGCGGAGTGATATCGAGTCTGACTCTCACTGCTTGACGGATCTTTGAAGTTGCGAATCCTACTATGACGAAGGCCTGACTGATGAATATTAATGAGGTAATAAGACGGTTGCTTGGTAACTGGAGAGTAGCGCTGGGTATCGTAAGGGATGAATAGGGATTATAATTCGGAAACATTGCAGTTATGTGAAGGTTCATCAATGATTATTTTATTAGGCTATATTTGATGAGGAAAAAGAAAAATGGGTAACACTTTACTTGAAGGGGTGTGCATAAGACTGACATGACACCATGTCATGATTATGTAGGTGTCATGTCATGATTATGTAGGTGCCATGTCATGATTATGTAGGTCTCATGTCATGATTATGTAGGTCTCATGTCATGATTATGTAGGTCTCATGTCATGATTATGTAGGTCTCATGTCATGATTATGTAGGTCTCATGTCATGATTATGTAGGTCTCATGTCATGATTATGTAGGTCTCATGTCATGATTATGTAGGTCTCATGTCATGATTATGTAGGTCTCATGTCATGATTATGTAGGTGTCATATCATGATTATGAAGGTGTCATGTCAGTCTTATGCACACCCCTTCAAGTAAAGTGTAACCGAAAATGCAATTGTTATTGCATCTGCCGCCCTCAGTAATCTGTTACTGAGATAATTACAGATATTAACAAAAGAGACATGACAAATCCGAAAAATATTATTCTTGCAAAATTCTTGCTTTTTAATGACTTTTTTTTGCATAAATGCTAATTGGTTCTAAAATAGGCCTATGTATTAAAATAGGTATTAAACAAACAAACAAACCCACAGCATTCATTAATTAATTTATTATATATAATACTGATGTAAAAAAACAACAATCACACGTTGTCATTTGAATAACCAATTACACCAATTTCAGTCTCATTACCTCAAGTAGTTCATGTAGGCTATCATTTCAAGTTACAAGCTTCAGTAACCTTTAATGATTCAATTCTATTCCGAACGTAGCTTACTGTCTAATAAAACTCTCAAAAAAGGTACAAAACTGTCACTATGTATGTAGCCTACTGTACATAATGTACACTTTAGGTACTAATATGTACTTTTAAAGTACTAATATTTACCTTTAAGGCACTAATAGGTACAATTTAGGGGTAAATAAGGTACAACGATGCATCTTTCAGCTTTTTTACCTTAGGATACCGCCCCAGTGACAGGTTTGTGCCTTTTATCTTTCAGTGTAAAGGTGAATGCTTGGCTCATGAATATTGATTAGGTAACGCAGACGTCATGTTGTTGTCATCCAATGGCAGAGGCTTGAAGGACCAGCTTAAACCAGCATCCCAGCGTCAAAACATACCTAACCAGCATATGCTGGCTTTTTCAACAGCCAAGCAGCATCATTATGAAAAAAACGGGAATTACTGGCAAGATTCTCTAAAAGTTATAAACAGACGTTCTTCTAGTAACGTTAACAGATTTTTTTTTCTCCTGAAACGTTTTAGTTGTACTTGTTTAGTTACTACTTGTTTCAGAACGTTTAGAGAACTTTTAAAAGAATGTTCCCATAATATCTGCAAAATGCCTTTCAGAGAACATCCAATAACTTTTTCGTAACTTAATCCCTCACATCCACAGCCACACACACACACACACACACACACACACACACACACACACACACGCCTTCACTGTACTGTAAAGCATATTGATGATGTTCATTCGCGTGATTCGCGTGGAGTGGGCGTGTAAATGACAGAATTCCCTCGAGCATCTGCTCCTCGTGACCATGAATCACTGAATCACGCCCCGAAACCCACCACCGCCACTGCCTTCAAACCCCACGAACACGTTTTGTAAACCCAGCAACATTAAATTCAGCAGCAGCGTGGAAATATGACTCGCGCGAGCGGAATCGAGCTATGCTCTGGACATTTCACGCGCGTGGTCACTTACATGGTGCGTAGTTGCATAAGTGTTTAATGTATGTGCAATAACTTACTTTCTACTTCAGGTGTTACTTTATTCATCGTATGTTGCATTTAATATGCTGAATTGTTTAGAGTAGTATTTAAATGCCGTTTATATTCCACATTGCTTTGTGTTTTATGATTGTGCATAAATGCAGTCTTACGTTGAGAATAAACGTACACATTTAGTTTGAATGTTGTATATGATGAGTGATGACTTTCTTTTACTTAACAGTTAAGATTTAATTTTCATGCCTTTACAAGAAATTTGGTTGGTGTTTTTGTTGTACTTAAGGGTTTAATTAATGAAACATACTGAAAGAGAGTAGTGCCCACATGGCCAAAGGCATGAGTTCCTGCCTGACAAATGATTGATTCTCAACAGCAGTCGGGCCCTTGCATAACTTTGCATGACATGGTGGTTCTGTCAGGGTATGAAGTGTCACCGAAGCCTTTCCTGAAGGAACAGACATCAGTCAGCAGGTGCTGGAACAGCAGTTATGCGGCAGCTGAAGCTCTGTGTGGTGTCCAAGTAGGGGAATGAATTATTTCTTTTGCTGCTGTAATTTTACACCTTTCGACAAGACCCATCCATGAGGCACTGGTGAAGATAAAGTCCATTTTCAGCTGTCCTTTTAATATGTTCCTCTCCTTGGCTTTTTTTTGGGGGGGGTTTGTGGAATGTGTTTAATGTGGGGTTTCAATCCACACTGTGTTGATGGCTGTTTCACACTTATCTGCTCCACCTTCTGTCCTACAGGAAGTCCCTGAAGAGCACAAATTCAGAAACAAATAAAGGGATGTAGATAAAGCATGAGGGAGGGGTTGAGTGAATGGAGATGTGAAGAACATGAATGAGTCTGAGTGCAAGACAGTTTATTCCTAGAGCTGAGAGGTGATGGCGACAAGAAATGACATCAGAGGGAGAGAAAGAGAGAGAGAAAGAATATCTCTAAAGAAAATATGAGTGCCATGGTGTCTGAATGTTGCTAGGTGGTTGCTAAGGGATTCTGGGTGGTTGCTAGGATATTCTGAGGTGTTGCTTACTGGCACAAGTAAAAAAAAAAGTGTGTTACACGCAAAAACAAACAGCGCCACCTATGTAGTCTAATTCACAAACAAATGACTAATTAATTGGTTCTTTTAATGAATCCAGCAACTGGCACAAGTAAAAATGAAATGGTTCTCTTAATAATTCGAGCATCTGGCATAAGTAAAAAAAACACGTTATACGCAAAAGCAAACAGCACCACCTATGTAGTCTGATTCATGAAGAAATGACTCTCATCAGTCAAATTAATTGGTTATTTTAATGAATCAAGTAACTGGCACAAGTAAAAATAAAATGAATTGGTTCTCTTAATGAATCAAGCAACTGGCACAAGTAAAAAAAATAAAATAAATGTTATACGCAGAAACAAACAGCATGGACTATGTAGTCCAGTTCACAAAGAAATCATTCTTATTACCGTATTGGCCCGAATATAAGACGACCCTGATTATAAGATGACCCCCCTTTTTCCAGATGTACCTTTTGGAAAAAGGCTTTTTAAAAACCAAATCTTGTTTTTTTCTCAGTAAAACACATTTTGTCTTCAATTATTTTCATATTGCATATTATATTTGAATTTTTGTTTTGAAAGTATGGTAAAAACTGGTAAAATATACCAACAATCACATTTAAAAAATATACACTTTTTGATATACCATAAAAAAACAAAAACAGGTAGCCCATCTGAATTAGGACATTTAGGCTATCCATCTAATAGTAGCCTACCAATATCTTATTAACAGTAGAAGTTAAATCTTACTGTAGTCTTCAAATCTGGGTACTGTCTTACGTTTTAAAATCACAAAGGGAGTTTGGTCCCATCAGGCTAACGTGACAGTCACGACTCATGCAGCTGTAAGGTTTTCTTTTTTTTTTGTTTTTACTCGCGATCTTTACAACACGCATTACATTACGTATTTCATGGCACACTCGTTTTATGCGTATTTGGCGCCACCTATTGTTGTGGGTGTATTATTGACATGTCAAAGTCTAGACCCTGAATATAAGACGACCGCGTTTTTGTATTTCCAAGAAAAAAAAACATCGTCTTATATTCGGGTCAATACGGTAGTCAAATTAATTTGTTCTTTTAATAAACGAAGTAACTGGCACAAGTAAAAATAAAACACTTTATACACAAAAACAAAGAGCGCTACCTATGTAGTCCAATTCACGAAGAAAAGACTCTTGTAGGGAAAATGAATTGATTCTTTTAATGAATCGAGTAACTGGCACAAGTAAAAAATGAATAGGTTCTTTTAACGAATCAAGCAACAAGCATAAGAAAAAAAACTTTACAAACAAAAGCAAACAGTGCCACCTATGTGGTCTGATTCACAAACAAATGACTCTTATAAGTTAAATGAATTGGTTCTTTTAATGAATCAAGTAACTGGCACAAGTAAAAACAAACAAACAATAAAACATGTTACACGCAAAAACAAACAGCACCACCTATGTAGTCTGATTCATGAACAAATGACTTATAAGTTAAATGAATTGGTTGTTTTAATGATTCATGCAACTGGCACAAAAAAAAAAAAAAAAAGATGAGCTGTTTTTTTTTTTTATGAATTGAGCAACTGGCACAAGTTAAAAAATTTGTTACACACAAATACAAACAGCACCGCCTATGTAGTCTGATTCACAAACAAGCGACTCTTATAAGTCAAACGAATTGGTTCTTTTAATGAATCGAGCAAATGACTCTGCCTAACACATGCCTCCGCACATTAAGTTGTTGTTAACCTCGTTCTAATGTTGAAGAATTTCGAGTTTTTTAAATAAACAACTGTGTGCCTAAGGTTAGTCATTTGCATAAAAAACCTGCCCAAATTTCCGTACAACCTTTCGCCAATCTTAGCAAATGTATGAAACTCTAAAGAAGAGCTCTTGCCTGAGAACACAGCAAGATTCTTGAGCAAGGCCAAGCACATGTGCTCATGTTCAATCACAATAAAACCCTTTTAATACAAATGAATCATGATTTTTTTCATGAAAATCTTTGTACGCAGATTTCACACATAAATTTGTGCGTATGCATGATAAGCGAATGAGACTCAATGTCTTCTTCTCTCCTCAGGTGTGTTTAAGGCGCCGGGGCGAGGCGTCATGCGATCTACCTGAGCGTGATTGTTCCACCTGGAGGTCACAGGATGCCGGTGCAGGCAGCTCAATGGACTGAGTTTCTATCCTGCCCCATCTGCTACAATGAGTTTGACGCCTGCAGCCACAAGCCCATCAGCCTGGGCTGCTCGCACACCGTCTGCAAGACCTGCCTGCACAAACTGCATCGCAAGGCCTGTCCTTTTGACCAGACGGCCATTAGCACTGACATTGATGTGCTGCCTGTCAACTGTGCCCTCCTGCAGCTGGTGGGGGCGCCGGTGAGTGGGGCATGCTGATATGATTGATATGATAGCTTTTGAGGTTTCGAATAGCTCAGGATGTCCAGTGTTGCTGTCTTTCTGGGCTGTGCAGCTCAAAACTCATTTTTTTATTGTCAGTGTCTTAACCGTGCATACAGTTTTACAAGAAATGAATTGAAATGAAAAGTACACTAACATAAAAAAGACAGAATTGCAAGATATAAACTCAGAATTCTGCAATCTCCTGTTTACATCTCACAAATTTGAGTTTATCTTGCATTTCTGAATTTATGTCTTTCAATTTTGAATCTCTCAATTCTGACCTTTTTCTCGGAATTCTGAGTTTATATCTTGCAATTCTGAATTGATATCGCACAATATTTAGTTTATATTTTGCAATTCTGAGTTTATATCTCGCAATTCTGAGTTTATATTTTGTAATTCTGAGTTTATATCTCGCACTTCTGAGTTTATATTTTGCAATTCTGAATTTATATCTCACAATTCTGAGTTTATACAGAATCTTGCAATTCTAACTTTTTTGTTTAGCATTTATTTAGTTTATTTTGCAATTCTGAGTTTATATCTCACTTTTTTTTTGTTTCCGCCACGAAAAAAAAAGGTAACTGAGTTTATACCTCAATTCTGACTTTTCTTCTGAGAACTGCAAGACAAAGACAGAATTGTAAGATATGAACTTAGAATTGCAAGAAAAAAGTTTATCGTACAATTCTGAGTTTACACAGTATCTCGCAATTCTGAGTTTATATCTTGCGATTCTGAGTTTATAGGCTATATCTCATAATTTTTTTTCTCAGAGTTCTCAGAATTATGAGCTTACATCTTTTGATTTTGAGTTTTTTCCGTAGAATTCTGTTCATATCTCGTAATTCTAAGTTTATATCTTGCAATTCTGAGTTTATATCTCTTATTTAGGAGTTTATCGTACAATTCTGAGTTTATATCTCTTATTTCGGAGTTTATCATACAATTCTGAGTTTATAGCTTGTCATTCTAATTGTATATCCCACAATTTATATCTTATATCTTACAATTCAAGTTTATATCTTACAATTGTTAGTTTGTATCTTGCAATTCTGAGTTTATATCTCGCAAATTCTGAGTTTATATCTTGCAATTCTGTGTTTATTGTACAATTCTGAGTTTACATCTTACAATTCTGACTTTATATCTCACAATTCTGACTTTATATCTCGTAATTCTAAGTTTATATCCCACAATTCTTAGTTTATATCTGACAATTCTGAGTTTATGCAGTATCTCACAATTCTAACTTTTTGGTTTAGCATTAATTTAGTTTATTTTTCACAATTCTGAGTTTATATCTCACAAATTTTTTTGTTTCCGCCACAAAATAAAAAATAAAAAATGGTAACTGTGAGTTTATACCTCAATTCTGAATTTCTTCTGAGAACTGCAAGACAAAACCAGAATTGTGAGATATAAACTTAGAATTGCATTAAAAAAAGTCAACACTGTGAGAAAGCCTTTATCATAACAAAAATATTTTCACTTTGCTTCACTCCAAACAGATACTGTAAGTTTCACCAGTAATCATTATGCTGTTTAACATTGACGTCACAATGTCATAAATAGAACTCTTCTGGTGGTGCTTCATATCTGCCAATGGTTGTTTTTCTGCAGGTTCCGGAGGGAGAGATTGTGAGTGTGGGCAGTGTTGAAGACACAAGACATTATGAAGTGTGCAGGATCTGTGTGGAGGAGCTGGCGCTGTATCTCAAACCAATCAGTGGAGGAAAAGGTGAGTGTGTGAAGAAAGTGATACAGGTACATCAACAACAATGACTGTGAGTGCTGCATTATTGTTTAGGCTTGCGCCTGAACGAGCTCACGTTTGGATAGCGCAACATTTCCTGTTGTTCAGCGGCTACATGTGCTTTATCTGTCTGTGGTTGGAGATGTTTGCGTCAGTGGGAAAAAAACAAAAAAAAACACAGAAACCCAAAGGCCACTTCAGAAACAAGAGAAAAACATGCACGTATTTTATATGCAATACATGCAATGAAATACAGTGACAAAATAAATGTTTACAATAAACATTCATGTTTAGTAATGCTTAATAAAAGTAAAATGAAAGCAATAAGCACGTTATATCCTACCCGGTCCATTTTCGTACATTATTGCTTATCAGATGCTGGTGTTACTTATTATTCATGGAATAATTTCCCACTGTGTTAAACACGAGAACGGCTCTTTGTAGGCCAATAAAACACTTGGTCTCCATGAGCAATAAAGCTTCAGGTCACTCATGGTCTCAGCTGTTGTGAGTGGAAAAGTCCGTTTCAGGGCTCAATTGAGTGTTTTATTGGAGTAACAATAAAAGTTACTCCTCACAGCGGACTAGAGGAACGCTAAAGGCTAAAGCTCTTAAACTCCTCATTGAGCTTTGAGCTCATAACAGCTCCTCTGCCAAACCTTCACTATTACGCTGTGGTGTAGCCATAAGACTGAGACTTTTACCCTCAAGATGTTTAGCAGCTCCTGGAAGTAGGATCAGTAGTGGATATAGTGTATTAGTAGATTAACTTCTGGAAAAACTAACTGAGAGGCCATTTAAAGGCATTAAGGATAATTTGACTTCAGACCAACAATATAATAATCTATAATATATATATCATCTATAAAAAATATAACAATATGGTTTAACTGTAATTACATATATAATACACATTATAAATGATAAATTAAATAATCGCACATCAAATTTGGCTGAGAAATTACCCCCAAAAGATCATTTAAAGTAATTGTGTTACATGACAAATCATTTATTTGATGCAACATTGAATTTATTAAACTTTAAACATTTTATTTATGTATTTAAATGAATTATACATTTTTTGGCTACAACAACCTTTTTTTGGGAGGAAGCTGAATCTGAAGTGGTATTTAGATACACACACACACACACACACACA